GGAGGGGCTGCTGCCTGGGTTAATTTTGGTCTGGTTTGGGGAGGAGGAGCAGGGGTTTTGGGTGCTGCTGGGGCCCAGGTTGGCTGTGGTTACCTACAGAATGTAGTGTACCCTTGGATAACTTGGGTTTTCCTTGGGCAGCCCAGGCTGGAGGTGTCTCTCAGAAGAGCAGGGGCGATGCAGGAGCTGGTGGCTGGCGTGGAGCAGCTCAGGTTTGACTTGGAAGCTGACGTGGAGCAGCAGCGAGGAGCTCAGCCCCTGCCCTTCCCGGGTATGGACGTTAAGTTGGGGACAGGAGCCTGTGGCATCCTTGGAGGGTGACGGGGCACAGGAGGTGTTGGGGTTCCCCCCTTTGCTGGGGCTCTTGGCTCTTGCTGCACCCCCAGTGGTACCTTGGTGCCTCTGGTCCTGGGCTCTGGGCACGGTTTTGGTGGGGTTTGAGATGTTTTTTGCTGATGGCACAGTGGTTGTGCAAGTTTTGGCCTGAAATGGTGATGCTGCTCAGAGTCCATCACCTCCCAGCCCTTTGGATGAGGGCTCCTACCCCTTCTGCACCGGGGAGGGCTTGGACACCCCCAGGACAGCCAGACCTTGGCAGCGCCTGGGGGATTGAGCCCCATGCGCTCGGTGGGTGCTGCAAACCTCCACAACCAGGAGAGCTCCTGTGCGGAGGATGCTGGGGTAGGGGGTTTTGGGATGGGGCTCACAGGGGACGTCCCGGGTGCTGGGGGGTCTGTGACGGTGGGGGCTGACAGCGGGTGCGTGCCATGGCCAGGCGTGCGGTGCCCGCTCCGGCTCCGGCACGGCGGCGGGGACAAGGCAGTGGTGTGCAAGCATTGGCTGCGTGGGCTCTGCAAGAGGGGCGACACCTGCAACTTTCTGCACGAGTACGACACCACCAAGCTGCCCGAGTGCTATTTCTACTCCAAATTCGGTAGGTGTGGGAGCGGGCTGGGGATCCCTGCCAGCATCTCCCACCCCAGCACCCATCTCCCTCTGGCCTGGAGCAAGCGCTTGATGCCACCTCCTGTCTGTGGGAAGCAGTGCTGCTGGCACCCACCCAGTGCCACCATTCCCCTGGGTGCTCCTGGGGCTCCTCGGTTGCCCCCAGGCCCATCCTTGAGCCCTTTTGGCTGCGTTTGGGTTGGGCGAGTGTTGTCTCACCCCTTGCTCCCGCAGGTGAGTGCAGCAACAAGAACTGTCCCTTCCTGCACGCCGATGCCACCGCCAGCACCGTGGGGTGTCCTTGGTACGACCGTGGCTTCTGCAGGCAGGGTGAGCTGCTGGGATGGGTGCTGGGGTGAGCAGGGGCTGCCCATGTTCCCCACCAAAAATGAGGGGGGGTCCAGATCCCATTGCTGGGCATCGTCCTCCCAACACTGAGGTGACTGAGCCAGAATGGGGTGAACTACAGTGGAGACAGCCTGGGAGTGGTGAGGATTTGGGCTTGGGGCAGCAAAGACCTCATAGAGTTAAGGGGGAATGGGGCTGCTGGGGAAAGTTGGGCTCCCAAAATCCCTACGGGGCAGGGGGTGATGTAAATGGGAACCTCTCCTCTGCGTGACAGGGCCCCTGTGCAAGTACAAGCACACGCGGAGGGTGATGTGTGCCAACTACCTCGTCGGCTTCTGCCCAGAGGGACCCAAGTGCAAGTTCACACAGTACGTACTGGGTGGGCTGAGGGGGTGACCGTGGCCCTTGCAGTGTCTGGGTGAAGGACAAGGGCGCTTTGGGTCCCTGTCTGAGCTAACGGGCCCCCTCTCGTCTCCATGTCCAACCTGAGGTGGTGACAGGGTTTGCAGCGGGTGGGCAGGGGGCAGCCCCAGTCCTGGTGGGGGTATCTGGACCCCAGGACAGCCATGGAGGGGGTCTGGGGGGACCACTGGCTGTGTCCCAGGGGTAACAGCCTGTCCTCTGTGTCCCTCTGCAGCCTCAAGGCCGGGCTGATGGCGAGCAGCACAGATCCATCCAAGGTGATGCAGGGAAGGTCCTGTGCCATATTTTTCTCGGTGTCTTTGCCCATTGGGGTGACATGAGCTGTCCCTGCCCCGTGGCTCTTGTGGGACAGCAGCTGCCAACTGTCCCTCCTGTCCCATGTCCCCCCACCCAGGGAGCTGCCTGTCCTTGGGGGCTGGCACGGCTGGGATTGGCTCCCGGGGCGGA